CTTTGTCCAATCGTGGAAGACTCAGCAACTGGTTTAAAGACTTACTATTAGCTCGCGAAAATCATTCCAACGTTATCTCTAGCGATGAAAAGGATGAACCTGTAAGTCTGCATCGAAATAGCTGCTGTAGTTGTTGAGATCTTGCATGCCGCTTCCCGGTGTCGATGTGCGGTGGCCGCGCAATAAAACGTGGAAGATCACCTACGCTACGTTTTCGTGGTCTGAGAAGAACTACGATATCATCCAACGTACGGCGTTTGCATTGACGAACTTTCATTTGTCGCTGATGCCGCTCCGCTACGAAGACGAGACGTTCTACGAGTACGTTATGGCGCGCTACGAGCGAATGGCGACCGACAAGAAACGCAAGCGTGCTGAGACTCAACGCCGCTATCGTTTGAATCGCCAAGAAAGACTGGCCTTGGACCACAACCGTGCAGGACGGCTCCGTTTCAGCTAACGTAATAAAGCTTCCATTTGGATTTGTTGAATTGTTTGCTTTTGATCAGACGTGGTGCATTTGATCAGTTTCACGATCACTTTGGAATCCACACCGTTTTGAGTCAAGTAAACGTAACTGACAATTTTCGAGGTTGCTAATTTTTCTCACCCTGGCTCATATGTTTCGAAGTGTCTTCTGCAGTGTCCTTGTCAAATAGTTTTCAACTTTGTCCAATCGTGGAAGACTCAGCAACTGGTTTAAAGACTTACTATTAGCTCGCGAAAATCATTCCAACGTTATCTCTAGCGATGAAAAGGATGAACCTGTAAGTCTGCATCGAAATAGCTGCTGTAGTTGTTGAGATCTTGCATGCCGCTTCCCGGTGTCGATGTGCGGTGGCCGCGCAATAAAACGTGGAAGATCACCTACGCTACGTTTTCGTGGTCTGAGAAGAACTACGATATCATCCAACGTACGGCGTTTGCATTGACGAACTTTCATTTGTCGCTGATGCCGCTCCGCTACGAAGACGAGACGTTCTACGAGTACGTTATGGCGCGCTACGAGCGAATGGCGACCGACAAGAAACGCAAGCGTGCTGAGACTCAACGCCGCTATCGTTTGAATCGCCAAGAAAGACTGGCCTTGGACCACAACCGTGCAGGACGGCTCCGTTTCAGCTAACGTAATAAAGCTTCCATTTGGATTTGTTGAATTGTTTGCTTTTGATCAGACGTGGTGCATTTGATCAGTTTCACGATCACTTTGGAATCCACACCGTTTTGAGTCAAGTAAACGTAACTGACAATTTTCGAGGTTGCTAATTTTTCTCACCCTGGCTCATATGTTTCGAAGTGTCTTCTGCAGTGTCCTTGTCAAATAGTTTTCAACTTTGTCCAATCGTGGAAGACTCAGCAACTGGTTTAAAGACTTACTTAGTACTACAGGTAATCCCTGTCTTCATGGAAGTCCATCAAACTTTATAACTGTTACATTCTATAATAGATCTCCCATGCAGTTCCTTTATACAGTGAGTGTGGCCATTAGTACCGCAAATAAATAGTGTATTGGTGTTTCAATAGGTTCAATACGCAAAACTTAAGTCTTCAGCGTGAAGATAATTCACAACATGGATCAACTTAGGTCAATTATAAATGTGATCATTCACTAATCAAAAATCGAATAGCCTATGCAGTCATATAATTATCTCGTGTAACATCAAACCTCCAAGAGCGCGTATTTATACTATTCCTCGCCACCAAGCTCAAGATAGCCAGCCTCAAGGCGCATTCTTCTCTTGGCTCGATAGGTCGACTGTGACAACTTCCGTTTCCGTTGAATTTCGTCTCCAATTTTGGCCAACTTGTTCATTCTACGATTGTAGAAGCCTTCATCGTCATCGCGTAGAGGATGAATCATGATATTCGCGTTTGTCAAGGACAAACAGACTCTGAAAATCGTGTCGTAAAGCCCTTCATCCCATCGAAACTTGTCAGAACAAACGCGCCAGAGGTTGCAGAGTCGCCCGAAGTAATTCTCCACAATGATTCGGTCACTTGAAATATCGCGGTTTTCTCGCTCCTCCTCCATGGATAGGTCTTGGTTGGGTTTCGCTTTCTTGGGATGTATAACGCGGAAGTGTTCTTGAAGGCCTTGGTACGCCTTGTCAGCAAGCACACACCACTGGTCAGGGAACTTGTCGGCGAGCGGTCCACGGTCGGGGACGTTAGAGTCCACAGGTTGTTTTTGGAGTTCACGTAGGTGGAAATCGGCATTTTGACGGAATATTTGCACGTCATGTGTGGCGCCGCGGAAGTGTTCGGTACAGCCAATCGACAGACCATTCGGGAGGACACTTGTCTCGACTTTGTAGCCATAAAGACCATGCTTCTTGCTGTAGTAGGGCTTGACTTCTTCATGTTTACCTGATGGACGGTATGATTGCTGAAAGGTTACATCAGTGGCGTAGCGGGCTGTCTTATAGTGCTTGAATATGTGACCAGACGTGACAAGCTTTTTCATTGTGAACTTGTTTGCGGCCTATCAACAAGCAATAAGACAGTATGCTATCTCATGAGTACCTTGACGACGTAAGTTTCGTAAAGCATTGGGTCGATGATAGCCAAATAGCGAATGACAAGGCGTTGGAATGTGGGACCCTTCAATCCGAATCGTCTCCCCATGTAGTCCCATGTTCCGCCATGCTTCAGCACAGTCAGCACCATGAATAGGACATCCTTGCCACTATGTACGCACTTCGCCCCACGTCCAGTGTTCCAGTGCATTCTCACATGGTCTTGAAGGTTGTACCAAATCGAATTGAATTCAGCTGTCGTGAAGTTGGTCATGAGGAGGATGGTGTCAGGGCCATGGCTCAGGAATAGGTCGAATATCGGCGTTGGTGAGTCCACCACAGCATCATCTTCGTGAACGATATCGGGATACCGCTCCAAGTCAGCTTGGCGTACTTGTTGGCGTTCAATAAGTCTCATGACCGTGTCGTTGACGTCGGCAGCAGTCATGTCCTTGGTGTGTTTCTTAGGGCCATTTTGAATTGTGCAATGTCTTGTTGGATTGTTGATACGCTAAGCTATAACTGTTATCCCTTTGTGTTGTTACAAGGATATGAAGCGCAGGGCAAGATAAATTCCTCGGAGTTATAGAGATTTTCTATACGAATACTTCATATTTCTGTACGAGACGTCTCGATACCAAAAGACCTGACTCGACATTAATTTAGTGTAATCCTCCGTGTAACAAATTAGTATAGTGACTGTGTAAGGTAATTCTCCCGGAGTTCTAATGTAGTTTCTCATCAATATACAGAATTCCCCCGCAATAGGAGACAGTTGCACAATATGCATTAAGAGAGGTATATTGTTTGGACAAGTATTTAGTTACAAAGTGGCTTGTTCGTGTT